GAACCACAATACCAATAAGTAATTAATAAAAGTCAAAAGACCAAAGAGGTCATCTTAATATCAAAAAAAAAAAAAAAGAAGATATTTCTAACTAAACTTGCTTTTAGAAAAAATTTTCTTTTTTTAGTATAAAACTCAAAAGTTTGGGAAATCATATTAATCCTGAAAAACAGAAAAAAAACATGTATCTGACTAAACAACAACAACAAACAACAAAGTCATATTTCTAATTAGGAAATAGATAGATAAGCTATTAGAGAGACATCTAAAGCAGAGACACATCATGTGAGATAATTATGATTGTGATTGGTCAAAGATAACCAAAATCATGATTGGCTGAAGGTAATATATTCAATTTGTTAGCAGTATTACTTTTTGTAATTTTTTTTTTATTGTTTTTTTCATTTATATGTATATATGTAGATTCTTTTTTTTTTCTTGCAAATTAATGTTCAAATATAAAATTTTAAAACTTGGCAACTTGGCTTTTAGAAATCATAAACATTAAGAATATAAATTTTTTTTATACATTCTTTTTTAATTTTAGAATTTTGACAACCTGGCTTTTAGAATTTTTTGTTTTTTTTTTTTAACTTTTTTTTTGTTTTTATCCTTTAAAAATGTAGTTGTATATAGAAATATTGTAAATACTGTAGCATAGAAAAAAGCTTCACCAAGTTAAGAACAATACTGTAGTGTAGAAAAAAAAGTCTTGCCAGATTAAGAACATTACCTTAGCATAGATAATATATATTTTTTTTATAAAAACTTTGTTGAGTTGAGACTAACAAAACTATTATGAAGCCTATAATTTGTATATCAATATTTTGAATTTAATAGTTCTTTATTGTTTTTTTTTATGATTTAAATGTACTAATTTTTTTTTAATATTTGAAAGATTTGCAGAAAAAAAAATAAAAAAAAAAAGGATAAATTTGCATTTTATTTATGTCTACTTCTCTTTTGGATATTACTTCCTTAAGTGTCATGTCTAGTATGTCTTAGGTTGCTGTAGATGCTGCTTTTACATCAATATCAAGCCTCACATCTGATGAAAAACATAGTCTTTTTTTTGATATAAATGGAACTTTAGAAGTTCCAGTAAAGGAATTTGATGATAATTAGTGACCAATAATTTTGAATACTGTACACAATGAGATTCACACAAGTATATAAATGGTGATGTTCACAAGACTTTTGCCTGCCATTTTATGAAATATCAGATATTGAGTACTTGACAAGATAAAAATATTTCAATAAAAAACTGCTGAATAATAAAGACATAGCTGCCTGGCTTATGTAATGTGAAGATTAAAATTACTTGGTATGCTGCTTCGAAGATGGTCCAAATAGAGCAATATAAAAAATCTCCAGACCACATGTATTCTTTGTTAGAATGTGATAGGATAAAGTGATCAAAGACCATCAGGAGTTTGGTTGAATTAGAGGTAGTTAAAAATTATTCTCCTTTAGCAATTATAGTTGCAATGAAAGAATACACAATAGCTAAGCTAAGTCTTGGCACAAGTATGTATGAACTGAAGCATAAAGAAGTAATGAACATCAAATATAAAATTCATGAGTCTATAAAAGCTCACCTTATTGGAAATTTGAATTTAAAGCTTGATATCTCAGAAACCATATCTTATTTAGTAAAACAGAGATTTCTTATTAAGGATTATTGTGTTATTTAATGATCAACCAAGAAAATTGTGTTTGTATATCTGAAACAACTAAAAAAACTTAAATGGCATAGTTTTTTAATATTGATAGATTTTATACTCAAAACCAATAGGTACGACTGGCACCTGTTCAACTTTTACATCTGTGACACTTATGGCTGCTAGAATGTGGGAGCTCACTTTTTTGTGAGCAGTAAAGATAGTGATACTGTGTTGAAAGCTTTGTTGATAATTTGCAAGATGTGTAATTACTGGTCTCTCTATTACATACTTTTAGATCAAAACTCCATCAAAGCTAAGAGTATTAAAAATGTTTTCCATAGTATGACTGCAGGTAAACAGGAATATCAAATTATACTTTGTGTTGTTCATGTTATGAGAACATGGATGCAAAAAATATATGAAAAAGAGACTCAGAATATAATAATTGCTGCAATACACAAATAAACAAAAATAAACTGTGAAAGCCTTGTTCAGAATGCAATTGATTGTTGTTTTGCTATTCCCATTTTACAAAATTATATCAAAAGAAACTATGCAAAGAATACACATCAATGGGGTTTGTGAGCCTGTTAACATTTTCCTTTACTTTTACAAGTTACATCTATGAATTTATTAGAATCTTTTTATAATAAAATAAAAAGAATAATGTCTTTATTATATGACTTAATCAGTATGTAAATGATTATACATATTACAGAAAGTATTTTAGCATATTTTAGACTTGATTTTGATATGAAACTGCTTAGTAGTTTCATATCAAAAATCAATATTAAAATATGCTGAAATACTTTCTGTAACATAATAGTAACAAACTTTCTTTGTTTAATTTTTTTTATTTTACTACTCACTTATCTTTAATTCATTTATTTAGATGCAGTTCATGCCATCATCAATATTAATTATAAATAAAGAGCAGAATCAGAAAATGCCATCTTTAACTACCACATAAAAAAAGTGTCAGCATATGGTATCAAAAATCATATTCTTGAAAAAATACATAAGTTTCCTCTTCTATTTCAAAATTTACTTGTTAAAGAAGCATGTACAGTAATGAATAGACTTTAAAAAGGAAAAAGTACCTTGGGTTTAGCCTTTCTCAATTGTTACTGCTTGTTTTGAAATTGGTATTTATTATTATATAAACATATTTTTCATAAGCATATGTATAGCAATAAGTTATTAAATAGTAATATATAAAAGGCATTTCAGGAAATGTTTAAAGAAAGTGGTTATAAAGTGTATGAAAGACAGAAATCATTTATGGAATATGTGCAAACTGAGCAGCAAAAAAGAGCTAAAAATTAGAGAATCATTGTAACTGAATTAACTGAAAAAGTGCATAATAGATATTGAAATATTGAAAAAACAGATAATGTTGAAAGAGTAGAAGTCTATATCTCTATATTAGAGACTTTTTTAAATTTAATTATTTTGCAATTTGATCAATTAAATGTAAAAAATTAAATATTAGTATTTAATGTAATAAAAATTTAATTATAATTGATGCAATTAATACATTTGTAAAAATTTATTTGACTTTTTTTTAAACTTATTTATTTATATTTTTATTTTATCGCTGTTTTCGAAATGGTAGAAAATAGACAAAAAAAAAAAATTTCGAGTATACTCCATATACTGTGTATACTCGTATACCAGATTACCTTAGCACGTTGATGGATGATCGATACTTGATTTATATACATATACATGCTTATCGTTGTTGTTTACTAAACAATTACACGCCTGATTGTTTCAACAACCCAATTCTAAAAATAAAATTATTTACATATCGATATTGATTTATTTTTAAAATTGTAAGTTTTTCTTTTGATAACACTTGACTGTTAGATCTATGCAATTTAGAACTGTATATATAAGCGATCCTCAGATCATGCAAAAGCAAACGTTGGCAACATTATGCTAAATGTAACATGTTAGTCTGTTAGAAATCAGCTGTAATCACCTGAAGATTGTATGTACATACTATTTGTTTTTTTTATTTGTATATATATACATTCTTCGATTACTAATTTAATGTTCTTAGTAAGACATATTATATATGTTGTAAGTAGAAATTAGATTTGAAATTTCTTGTTACAAATTAGACTTTTTCTATAATCAGTTTTATGACCATCATAAGAAATTAATAACAATGTGAATCATTATTTTAGTTGAACACCTTGGTATGTCATATAAATTTCTGGAACTTTCTGATTTTTTTTGAGCTTTATCTCAACTTTTTATTCTGACCTTGCTTGTGTTTTCATAATAAGTCAAATCAACTAATGGTGGTAACTCTTTATATTCTGTATATGAGTGTAGCCAACGGAAAACCTTGATCTTGTTTTTTTAATAAACTCAGCCGTGATCTGTAACATGTGTGATACATATGTATAGGATCATAACTGAGTTTAGTATAAAAAATGAGATCGAGGTTTCCCTTGGCCGCACTCATATGCGAATCTAATCTCGAACAGTGATCTTTTTTTTTCATGAATTATATTAGACCAAGAACTTCTAATACTTCGAACTAAGATAAGTCAGCCATATTTTTCAACTTTATAGTAGTATTTGAATATTATTGAGGTGAGGTCATAGAAAGAAGTTTGTCTAATTGGCTAATAAATTCAATTTAATTTTACATTATTTATACAGTTTAGAGTACTTTTTAAAGAAACAAAAACTAATGATAAAATAAAAAAAGCTTTATAGAAGGTTTCATTAGAGCTGTAGGACTCCATAGTCAAAAGTAAGATTTAATTCTTATCCGTTTAAAAAAATTAGCTTAGTAATAACTTCTCAAAACCTGATAAAATCAACTTATTACTATACTATTTTGAATTAGATCTTATAGAGTCCTACAGCTCTAATGAAACCTTCTAAATAACTTTTTTCTTTTTCATTATGATTAGTTTTTGTTTCTTTAAAAAAGTACTCTAAACACTCTAAACTGTATAAATAATGTAAAATTAAATTGAATTTATTAGCCAATCAACTTCTGTTTATGAGTGGTGAGGACCTATAATAGAGTTTTTCTGGTCCTCATTTATCCAAGTAATTATTTCGTGTTTCTATTTGATCGCATGATGGGTTTTACAACTTATAATCACTAATCAGTAAAAAAAAACAAATTTTAAACTAAATAGCACCTAGCCTTCAGAAAGCATACATAACCTGTCATTCTTAGAAATATTGATGAAGAATGATCCTAGTATAACAACCAAGATCGGTTACATAATAAGTATTGGAGATTTTGATTACAGACTTCTGACGTTTAACATCAAATGCATAAAAAAAAAATATGCAAAATTCGAAGTTACTAATTTTCTATCTATGTATTATTTTAAAGTACCATAGCAATTGGATAGTACTGTCAAATCTCCTTAATCTGATACACTTGGTGAACGTTTTGTATCAGTATTGAGAGTTTATCAGATTTGAAAACATTACTATTAGATATAGCAAAAACTAACTTACTAGATTAATTTCTTATCAGATTTGGCAAGTTCAACAGTAATGAATCTTGATTAAGATGGTTTTTCAAGTATTGGTATAATTTACAGCACTTATATTTTTTAAAAAAGATCATGATAGATTGTATGTACAATAACAATAAAATAATGTTGCTTTATTACTAGTTATTTTTATTATCTTAAGCTTTTGTTTTCAATGTTTTATTACTATAC